AGTATCGGCCTCATCAATTAGTTCAGTCAATTTATTTTTCAGGTTTTAATATCATTGAAATATATAGAGCCGAGGGAAAAAAGTAATTCGTGATGGTTATGAAAAATAAGATGGAATTCGCGATTTCCATGAATGATAAGTTTTCTTTTGATAACATTGTTGGTACCTTCTGATATCAGAGTAGAACAAGATCTATAGAAATCATAAATCAGACACGTAAATCAAATTTGTAGGTGATTCCAGTTTGATTCCAATTTAGCTTTGCAAAAAATTATACTTGAAATGAAAATATGTGTAAAACAGCTCCCTTAGAGTTTTATTCGAAATATTTCGATATTTGGGAAAAAAATTTCAGAATGGATAATGACAACTATTAATTATTATTATTATTTCCATAGATGTTATTTTTATTTGAGAACAAACGACATGGCCAAGAATAAGCAATGTAGAAATGCCTATAAAACATATCTTAGTATTTAATTCTCTTCCTGGCATTCATCTTTGGCAAGCTACTTTGAACAATAGATATTCCGAGACTCATTAACATTAACAAACCAGGTAGCAATGAGTTTGTAATTACTCATATTAGTCATAGGTGTTGTTTTAGCATTCCTGAATACGCAAATAACTAATCTAACACTTTTGAACTATTAATTACTTCGTTAATTAAATTGTCAGACATTACATATTGTAACGATTCGTTCTCAATTGCGTTTCATTTTATTTATTTGCTTATAGCCCAATAATTGCGAACCAATTGCTTGATACATTTGGATTTTGAGTTATTCGGATCAGGTGGACTAAAATCTTTTCTTAAACTCGAGTTTTTGATTTGATATATTTTTTCAGATGTAGATAATAACGGTTACCTAGATGAAAGAGACTTCGCTTGTCTAGCTTTGAGAGCTGCCATAGTCGACGGGAAAGGAGAGTATAGTCACTCTAGATTACAAGAATATCAACATATAATGCTGAGTATGTGGGAGGAACTTGCCGAATTGGCAGATTTCAATAAGGTTTGGTGTATGTGCCTATTTCAAGCTTCATTTTGATGCCATTGCTGGTATTTGTTGTTCTTCTCATAAATAATAATACTTTCATACCGATAATGAAATCAATTCGTACAAAATTATTCTCTAACCATTCCAAAATATCAAAAATGCACAACATTAATATTCAAGTTTTCATTTCTGCCGGCACTCCCGGAGTGCAACCCGACGATTTTTTTTTTTGTAATGTACTATAGTGCAAATTTTAAATGGAACAGTATCTAAATTAATTAAAAGAGTAAACAATTGAATATCTTATAAGACGATAAATGCAAGGAGCATCCGATGTTACAGCATTCATAACAACATCAGCAACCACTCTTAGCTCCCAACTAACGCTCAAATCGTTCGGTTATGGGTTTCTGTAACTCAAGTAGCTTTACGCGTTTAGTGTTATGTATGTATACATATAAAATTACTTTATAGGTGCAGGCTTTAGGAATTAACTGTATTAACTGAATTGATTTGAAGATGTTAATTCGTTAATTCGAGTTAAATTAATTAACAAATTAACACCTTCAAATAAACATATGTATATACGACACCGAGGTTTCGCTTATTTCTTGCTGAAACATTATGTTGAAAACTATAAAACTAAAAATTAACACACTTGACTTAAGTTTCACTGAATATATTAAAAAATCTACATATGTTTCTGGTGGTTAACCCATTATCAACAGCATTACAGGATTACAAAGCACATATCCTAAACCACAGAATTTAACACAGGTTTCACGGAAAAATCCACCTTGTCATCACAAATATGTAAATTCTTCTTTTTGGCTATCGAAATTTCCAAGACTTCAAGGGTATCTAATCTTGTGCCCTTACTACCTGACTATTTCGGTCTTACTGGGATCCAAGAAAGGATTATGTTTAATGCATAAATTATTATTTATTTGTATACCTATGTTTTCATTACTATTGATCTTTTATATTAATTGCTTCTTTTTTGTATAGAACGTCCAGTTTGACCATGTAAAAACTATCACATTCACTGCAAAATATTTTATAAACGCCACTTCTCGAAAATAAGTCAAGTTTATCCTTGTAATTTACCAACAATGAACCCAAATTCTTTTTGTTGGTGCATATTGTATTCACGTTATTTTTATGTTATCTTCTACAAATTTTATTAGTCAAGTTAGGTATATAATTAATTGAATGAAATATTTTTTCTTGTTTTTCTAAGTGAATAGGAAAAATTCTTTGTAATAGTATCTTTCTCTGTTAATTTTTGATTAGTTTATCAATAAAGAAGGGTTTATAACCATTGTTAATAACAATTGTTTTTATTATACAAACTTATTTTCTAAAATTATCAGCAGACAACGGAAGCGAAAGTGATCTATGAACTAATGAATGAATCGCACTCTTTTTTTGCGACTGACTTGAGTTGTGTATTAATATGTCTGAATAATTTGGTTTTCTGTAAATGTCAAAAAATCGGGAATGAAGGGAAGGACTTACATATATGTAAATCCAAAAAGCTATCAGCTTGATTGATTACTGATTCAGAGTGAAATTTAGTAATATTGTATACTCTTGATAATTGGTTAACTACCCGAAATATACGTAGAGCTTTTAATATATTCGGTGAAACTTGAGTCAAGTGTGTTAATTTTTAATTTTATAGATGTAATATACGTTAAATCTCTAACTACGATCATGAAAAAACTGTTGACTCACTTTCAACAGAAACCTCGGGAACAGTTTGGTAGCGAAAAAATACCTAAAGAACCTCTTCTAATGCACAATTCTATTGCAGGATGGTAAAATAACGATAGATGAATTCAAGCAGGCTGTCCAACAATGTTGTTTAGGTAGAAAATACGACGAATTTCCCCAATCAATGAGAATGTTTATCGATACCAACTTTAAAATGGTAGATCTCAACGATGATGGTCTCATTGAAGCTGACGAATTCAGATTTAATTGTGTTATGAAATTTGCCATTGATGATATAGAGGCTGTGGACGAAGCATTCGATCGACTTCTCAGTGTATGTGTATTATTTCAGTCTTAGTATGTATTCCCAAATTGCCTCTGCTATTTTTATTGTAATAATCAAAATTAGAAATCAGCATACAATTATCGTATACAATTATGATTTAACATCTCTGATAGAGAACACCAAGAGAATGCTTTTCTTCGAGATTTCTTCGCGATTTCTTCGAGATTTTCATCTCAGAAGAAAATCATTTTCTTCTGAGATGACATTGCCAGGCTTGTGTTGGTGAAATTTCGGTTCGTATTCTTTCGTTGAATATATAAGCCAAGCACCAAAGCTAGAAAAGGGTGATTTTTTGACATAAATCCTAATTGTAAGCCGACTATACCAACCATGAGCAAGCAGTTTCGGACATCATTTCTGATATGTTTCCTTATTTGTTAAAAACATTTTTAACCGAAAAATAGGACTTTTTTTGGTTTTTTGCTTATAATTGAAAAATTAATGAAGTTAGCGAAATACAACCAATGGGTAAGTTGTAAGTAATTAAATAACGAAGAGAATCATTGTTTGAAAGAGTCTATCGGATAATTAGAATCGGGGACAATTGGAAAAAACCGGCATATTTGGCATATTTTGAAATAATCATAAATCTGTTATTTTTTAATTTGGACAGCTCCACCTTTGCAAAAAGTTAGTACATTATATATTGTTTACAAACCCGAAAGATTGGCGCTATTGGACAATTAGTCTTTGCGTTATTGTAATTTAAATTTTTTTATGTCATATTTTGTAAAATAGCTAAATGCTCCATAGATGGTCCGATTTCAATTATTAAAACGGATTTGAAAACTACAGGATCTACGCAACAAAACGTATATTTTCATTGGTAATAGAAAAGCTATGAAACTAGTGGAAAACTCGGTCAAAGGTCACTCCAAACCACCGAGCGCGCGATCTGAGTCGAGTAGTGGGGGGAACGATGGACGGAACGAACGGTTTTATACATAAATCCCAAGCGAACGCATGTAGCGTGGCCAAGCAACGCTGCCTGCTTCTCTACCGCTCATCGTTCCCCCCACTACTCAGATCGCGCGCTCGGTGATTTGGAGTGACCTTTGACCGAGTTTTCCACTAGTTTCACAGCTTTTCTGTTACCAATGAAAATAAACGCTTTGTTGCGCAGATTCTGTAGTTTTCAAATCTATTTTAATAATTGAAATCGGACCATCTATGGAGCATTCAGCTATTTTACAAAATATGACAAAAAAAATTGAAATTAGAATAACGCAAAAACTAATTCTCCAATAGCGCCATTCTTTAGGGTATGTACTCTAGATATAATGTATTAACATTTTGCAAATGTTGAGCTCTCCAACTTGAAAAGTAGCGGATTTATGAATTTTTCAAAATATGCTAACTTTTTTGGGTTTTCCCAATTTTCTCCGCTTTTTATTATCCGATCAACTCGTACAAAAAAAAGATTCCCTTCCTTATTTAATTACCTACAAATTACCTAATACTTTTTAGTTATGAGCAAAAAACCAAAATAAGTGCTATTTTTCGGTTAAAAATGTTTATAACAAATCCATTTCTATTCAGTTAAAATTAAACTCTTGAAATTGAGCAACACCCCGAAGCAATTTTCAAGCAATCAATTATTTTCACAGAATGATAATCTGTCAAAATAATTAGCTAATATATATGTAAATTAATAATATTTTAAGATTAAGACTTCTAAATTACGAGTACCTGAACTCTTACTTCTTATTTCAGGATGACGATAGAAGAAGAGGTGGATTGACTTTATCACGATACCAAGAACTCTATGCCCAATTTTTAGGTAATCCGGATGAAAACTGTTCAGCTGTATATTTGTTCGGTCCTTTAGAATTTTCACTTCAGTAACAATTGTTGCAAATCGTTTTCGCTTATTTCGCCTTATTGTAAATATTGTCACAATAAATTTCTTTTTCATATTATTATATCTATTATTGCCTGTCTCCGTGGCTTAGTCAGTAGAACACCCGACTATGGTGCGGTAGAAGTCGGGTTCAAGCCCCGCTGAAGGCATGGATGTTTGTGTATGTCCTGATTTAAGTATGTAGTTGAATGAATGATATATGCTGGGTAATGTACTTTGATTACAAGCCCAATGGCCGTTCGGAACCGGCGTTAAACTGTACGTCCACTGAATTAAAAAAAAAAAATAACACTCATATATTCCTCGAAAATTTGATGGAAAAGTTCACTAAAAGTTCAAAATCACATGAAATGAAAGCTATCTTCCAAATGAGTTGTTGTTTCGAAATCTGATTAGAAAGACGTGTTTTTCGATTTCAAATTAATCAGAAATTACATTTTCATCGAAATCGGAACAAAGTTTCGGCTTTTTTTTCCGACAAAAATGATGGAAATTTTTCGAAATTGTTTTCAAAATTTTTCATCCTATAAATTTACATTTCTCAATGAATGACGGGAGCATTTTTGAAAAAAAAATTCGATGGGAAATTTCATTAAAATTTCAAAATCGCGTGAAATGAAAGATAACCATTCCAAATTAGTTGTTTTATCGGAAATCTGATTAGGAATACGTGTTTTTCGACCTCAATTTGGTCAGAAATTACATTTTCATAGAAATCAGAAGAAAAAAATTTTCGACTTTTTTCCGACGAAAATGATGGAAATTTTTCGAAAACTTTTTAAGAATTTTTATGCTAGAAATTGACATTTTCTCGTTGAATTAGATCACGAATTCATCATCAGTTTCTACTTAAACCTCGTAGTGACCTCGAAAAATCGATGGGAAATTTCATTAAAATTTCAAAATCACGTGAAATGAAAGCTATCTTCCAAATTAGTTGTTGTACCAAAAATCTGATTAGGAATACGTGTTTTTCGACCTCAAATTAGTCAGAAATTACATTTTAAAAAATTTTTGAATTTTTTTTCGATGAAAATAATGGAAATTATTCGAAAATTTTTTGAGATTTTTATATCCTAGGAATTGACATTTACTCAGATCACAAATTTATCATCAGTTTCTACATAAACCTCGTAGTTTCCTCGAAAATTCGATATTTAAATTTAAAGAAGAGAGAAATAAAAACCATTTGTACCAACAAAATAAATATTGAGTCACTTTTAGTAAATAATAAAGAAAAGACAAATGTTGAAAACAAAAGCGGGATTTATAAAATTTTTTGTAATGAATGTCCAGCGTTTTATATCGGCCAAACAGAACATTGCATTAACTCTAATCACTTCATAGACTTTGAGAAAACTAAATGCCTACACGCAGGTAATAAAGGGAAACGTTTAGACCTTTTGGAAGCAATAGAAATAATCAGTTCTTGGAAGAAGAAAGAAGAAATCGTAAATGAACAAGGAGATTTTCAATTATCCTCCCTACTCACATCCATTGTATAGATATACATTTGTTGTACTTTACTTATAGTAGTTTAGTCTTGAAAATTAGCTAACGCTCGAAACATGTTGACTATTCATATTGTTGAATAAATCGTGAAACATTAAGCCCAGAGTTTAATTTATTTCAATATATATATGTAAGATTGTTCGAAGGAATTTAATAAACGATTGATTTATGATAGAAAGAAAATAGATTTTATTTACAAAATCAATAATATTTACAATCACTAAACTTACCTAGAAAGAAAAATCAATTTAAAGTCCTTATTTCCGTAACAATCTTAATGATAATAAATTTTGAATATTTCAATATGAATATATTCGTGAATTGAATTGACGGTATGAATGAAAAAACTTTTTCAGCTTGTCTGTCCCTGAGATCAAATAGATTGCAACTAGGGATGGCAGATCGAATCAGATCGAAATATCGATTTTTTGAGCCAAAATATTCGATTTTCTAAATCGATATGTAGTACAGGATCGATTCATTGGATCGATACATCACCCTTTAAAATCGGCATTCGATTTTTTTTGTTTTGGTATAAACCATACAATTAAGTTCAAGGTGCCTGTATTACAAGAGGCTGCCGGTTAATAACTTAAAAACTCGCGAGATGGATGGGTGTTTAGTCTATAGTCGCCTCACTTCTCTTCAATAAAAAAGAGGCTTAACTGTAGAATTCAAACATTATTTATCGCAGGCAGTTGTGCACCTAAAGTATGATTCTATAGTTCACTGTCAAGATAGATTTTTTCGACCGCCGGAAAGTTTCCAGCAATCGAAAAAAGCTATCTTACGTTGTTTCCGCCGGACGTCGCAAGTGATGAGCGGAACCGCTTGGATCCCAGTAGACTTGACAGACTGTTGTTTTTGAAAAGTTTAGATATTAAGCATTGTGAACTATATTCTAAATTATCTATTTGCTTTGCAAATAATATATTTTGAAAATAATGTATTGTTTTGTACCTGATTTTGATATGGTAATAAAAATAATTGTTATTATCGGATTCCGTGATTTCACTGATTAAAAGGTCATTAATTATAATCTTCGCCTTGTTTTTTATAAAATTGATTTATACTTACATTATAAAGCAAATTTGAAAAAAGATCGATTTTTTGGAAATCGATCTTTTAGACCTCGATTTTTTTGTGGATAAATTCATCAGGTCACGATTCGAATCGATTTAAAAATCGATCTTTTTCGGAAAGAATCGCCATCTCTTATTGCAACTAAACTCTGCCTTGATTTTACTTTCAAGAGTCACACTGTGGACCATGACTTCATACCTAGAGCTGTTTTTCAAGCATCTGTTTTTACCCTCTTTCTGAGAAGGCAAAACCCCTCTGGTAATTCCTATGACTTGGTAACTTAAAATGAAAAGATAGACCTCTTATCATTTTACATCTCCCTCCCTCAAAGTGAGAAATAAGGAGATAACTTATTAATATGTACATATTCAGACTTACTTCTACGACTTAAACTTAATTCATATATTACATTGGATATCTTATTAACTATTCTATGTGGACCTGTTCGTATACTATCTAGTTTGCCTCTATTCAGTTTGTATCCTAATTATATATACACATAATCGCCTATATTAAATTCTACATTTTTCCTCTATTTATCAATTCTCAACTTATTCCTTTCATGGTACAATTTAGAATTAATATATGCTTAGTCTCTATCCTTAGTTAATAAATTAGTCCGGGAATACATCCGTTGATTTGTTGGATGCCTGTTGGAAACTCGAAGACGTTTCGTCAAGGTCTCACTTGTCATTATCGACGCTTCAATTACTTGCCGATTGCTCGAAATCTGGCGATTGAATGCCAGATTCAATTAAATTATATGGACCAATATACCATATATATATATATATATATATATATATATATATATATATATATATATATATATATATATATATATATATATATATATATTTATATAGTTTTAAAATTCTTTCAGAAACATACAAAAATGTAAAATAGAAAATTGTACGAGAAGTTTTTATTATTATTATATTATTTTTATTTTATTTAGGAGAAATTTCTTATAAATCAAAAAAAAAAGGAATTCTAACCGTCTTAGTTCGCTCGAAAATATTTGAACGCAGTACTTGAGGGTAAGAATCAAATTAAACAAATTAAAATTGAAGGAAAAATTTTGGTAAGATGGATGTGCCTGTTTTTATTCGATGTGCTTTCCATTGATTCTTGAGATTTGAGTTGTTCATTAATCTATACATTATATATGCATCCTACTTACTCTATATTTCTGTCTTAAAATCGAATGGGGCTATGGTTGGATAAAACAATAATTCTGTTTTTGTTTATACTTTTTCCTTATTTCATTCGTTATATTCATATATTTTTTTCGAGATTGAATATTCAGTGCACTCTGAAAAATCATCGAACTTGCTGAATGGAAAAAGCACTTCTGAACATGGTAGAACACCAAGCGGATTCACTAAAATTGGTGAATACTAGGAGGGATACAGAATATTGCGATCATGAGCTGAAAAGATCTGGTGTTCACAAATGAGGAAGTAGTAAAATGAGAAAGATCAGGGAATGGATACCTCTATAAAATGGATAGTAGGTATATTCTAAATTATAAAAGAATATCACTACGACTAAGAAGGTTTCTCTTTACCAATTTTTTAATGATGGTCTTCATAATGAAAACCCTTTTAGTGTTATGCGCAAAAATATTAATGGATGATTTAGATTATTCAGAAAATATAGATAGATTATTTTAGATTGTATGTATTGGAACATGCAATCCACAATTATCCAATCAGTACATTCAGGGGCCAATTATTATTAATTTCGCTTTATTCATTTCTTATTTAATTTATTGCTTAATATTTCCGATAATAAGTAATGACAACGTAATGCAGGGCAGACGTATTTGTCCTTCTTGGTATTCATACCTACCTTTTATTATCTTCTTTTCTACGTGTGAGAATAATTTCCAATTGCCTTTTATTACCTCGTTTCTTTGTTCAATTTTAATCCTTAGATTATATTATTTTCCCTTCGTATTCTATGTTCTGCACTCTAGTATTAGTATGAAAAGGTATTTATAAAAGTTTGTTAATTTTTTAAATATTGTTGGCGTTTACTTGATGTAAATCCATTATAATTGAATATAAACTCAAATTCAAACACTTCAACTTATGATTTACACTTCATTGACTACATAGCATGACGAGTTTTGTCGTTACAAATTACTTCTTCAGATGCTTACAGAATAATTATTCAGATTATGCGTCATGCTATGTAGTCAATAAAGTGTAAATCATAAGTGTTTGAATTTAAGTTGATATTAAAGTTTGTTAATTAAACACATGAAAAGAAGCTGAAATCATACTTATTATCATACTATATCATTATTTGATATATGAAAAATTCAGAATATGTATTTCAATTTTCACTTCAATGTGATTAAAGAAAATCTGCAAATATTATATATATATATATATATATATATATATATATATATATATATATATATATATATATATATGTATAAAACTTGGTTCTCGGAAGGAGCCGCGTTCTAGATTTATAAAATCTCGACGTTTCGGCTTCCGTTGTGAAGCCATCTTCAGGAGTTGGAATAAATTAGTAAAGG